ATCTGTTGTAATACGCAATTCTAACTACTTTTTACGCCTTTACAATAACCTCATTTAGTAAGCTACTGCTTTGAGTGGCTCTTGGGCTTTCTATGGGGTGAAGCATAAAAATAGAATAAAAATGTGTAAGGTCCGTTTGTAAGGATATCTTTCCAGCCATTTACAAACTAAATCCATTTCTTTTTTTCATTTCTAATCACAATCCTTAATCTTAAACTTATTTTTCTTAATTTCAGACACATAACATCATAGTAGTTATTTACATTAAGTTATTAATAAAAATACGATAGAAAAAATAGCCCGAATTCATTCACAATATCGACGAAAAAGAAGTTTCACTTGCAGACTTGCAGTCCGCAACGCCTCTCACCCAGAGACGAGAACAGAGCTGAAAAAGAACAGATACTACACTATTCCCAGTCAGAAGCAGAACTGTGACCAGCAAGAGATGATACCGCGTGGGCGATTCACCCACGCGGTATCATCCAGCAAGACTAGAGGAAGAAATGTTGGTAGCTGCCCACTTATTTACAGTTAGAAGACATAGCATAAGGTCGGTTTAATTTGAAGTGCTCATGCACGCTCATATGGGCCAAGGACAAAAAACTCTCCAATCCCTACAACCACTGCAAATACCAATCCTAAAGGAAGAAACGCTCCCACTCAATATGGTTTTACTCATTTATTGACTTCCTCCTTATACGGTCATCTATTTTGATTTGTATTCTCCTGAACAAGATCTGAGTTTTTCCCACGATACATATATATATATATATATATATATATATATATATATATATATAATCAGGGCAGACTGGGATCTATAGCCTTGGATGGCAACTGGTCTAGGAGAAGGACAACTCTGAATTCAAAACCTGCGGAGGGTCGTTTGGGAACCTTGTGGGACTTAGTGCACCAGGTCTCTGTATTCGTCCCTTCAAAAAGTGTGGATGGTCCTGCACGAAACCTTCACCACTATCAAATCTCATGTGCTGTTGTTGGGCTGTCGGTTTCCTGGAAGCTAATCTGGTTGACCCTCATACGTCGAATTCGAATTCGAATGGAGAATCGAGTATATATATATATATGTGTGTGTGTGTGTGTGTGTGTGTGTGAATAAATGAGTGTCAATAAATGAGTAAAGTCAACATATATCTGACCAATAAGAACTGACCCAAACATAATTGAAAATTCCAGTGTGTTCTGTCATTTTGTCTTCTTTTAATCTCTGATGAAGCTTTAATAAAAGTGAAACATGTTAGATCGAAATACGTTTCCTGTTTGTTCTTTAGTTTATCATATATATATATTGATATAATGGAATATGCGAACACCTGTGTTCCCCCCTCACTGGAATGTGATTGGCTGGTGTCCGCCATAAATACCGACGGACGTGTAGGAGAGACAGAGCCTTAATCTGAGAGCTAAGTCTATAATGACGCCCATTGGACTACGCCATTGATCTACACTTCTTACCTGCGACTACGAAGCGTGTATCTGTCGATTACTGCTACTGTATTCTACTTGGCTATAGTAGCCAAAACCACTTAGCTACTTCGTTCAAATATATCCCTGTCCGGGACATATCATATATATATATATATATATATATATATATATATATATATATATATATATATATTATAAAGAAAAAATTTTATTGAGTAGAAGCAACGGACAACTTGCCAAAACCTAAAACTCTTATCGTGATACAGTTTCAAATAAAACCGACAATACTAAAAAAAAAAAAAATTTTCTAAGGGTTCTAAGAGCAAACTTACCTACTCACTAAAGGTATAGGAACCATAGATTGCAAAAGTTCAATCCTGTGAAAAGATGGCTCTAGTTGTATAAGCGAATTTCACGCCCACGCGATCTTCAAACGACTTGAACGGGCCCGTTCAAGTCATCTGAAGATCGTATATATATATATATATATATATATATATATATATATATATATATATATATATATATATATATAAACGTGTATATAAATCAAATAACTAGATATTAGAAACTATACAATACAATAACCCTCTACCTACACTCTAAATTTTGTATTTACACCTCAATAATATATTAAATTTATATTAAGTTTGAATTTTGAATCTGCGTTTAATTTAGCGTTCCTCACATGAGACCCAGTACTTTTTAATCAAAAGTTATAATTCGTGCCTAATGAGTTGATAGAACCACGAAACTTTAAGTTGCACGTCGAACGTAGGTATATGTATATTTATATATAACGCCCCGTGCTGGATGCAAAATAACACAGCTAAAATTTATACTACTAATAAATATGTATGTTGTTCCGCACTATTTGGTAAAACTTTTAAATATGCTATATTTGTTGGTAAAGTTTCTCAGTATTAGAGATTGAGTATATGTAAATATAAAACATAAATATATAGGTGGCCTGAAGATTGTTTTCAAGCATGAAACTACTCTGTACTGACATCAATGACTACTTTTATATTTATATTTACATACGCTTCATCCCCCTTCTCATGCATATGTTGAATCTATCTGTTATATATATATATATATATATATATATATATATATATATATATATAAAATTTATATTTAGGCAGCAAATTCTCTTTTAGGCATGTCTGATTGAATAAATTACAGACATTGTCTACTAATTTTTAACAAAATCCGTTCATACTAACGAATAACTTTCCGTGTATTGATGTTAAAGGATGAGAGAAATGTGCTATAGCTGTTTAAATTTCTTTTATTTTCATTTCTCAGGTACTTTCGATCTTTTTTTCAAGATCATCTTCAGTGGTGCAAGTAGTACAAAACTATATGCTGTTCATTAACATAAGTATTTATACAAAGTTGTGCGTTGATATCCATTACCGTAATTTTTTTTCATTATACTTTTAAATGTAAAACGGTTGACAATGTGCTGAGCGGTCATTAGAACGTGAGAAAATTATCCATTATGGAATTGTTTTCTCTCTAGATTATAATGTCATGGTCACTCGCGCATTAAATCATGAAAAAACCGTTCCTTTACAGGCATTTCAGAACATTACTGCGGAATTCATAGTTGATTCTGTTCAGTACTGGCTTTAATTTTTTAATATAAATTGCTTCTAGTATCTGTAATCTAATTTTGTTGTTTTCATGCCGTAGGATAGTTGTGTTGTCGATTAGTAATTTTTTATATTGCGAATGCGAACAGAAGAATAATAACAAGGTGACTTACATTACATATGTCTGACCATTCGTCCATTGCGAGACATCTACAACAACATTCCTGTCTGTGGCAACAATATTCTACGCATGGACTTATAGATATGTAAGATAGATTCTGGAGAGAAAAATTGTCTCGCACGACACAGTGAACCAACTTTCTTGGCAGCTGATCAGTTCGATAGTGTCAAATTGACAGCCAATCTAAAAAATGACGTACAGGCCGTTGTTGACTGGGGCAAGAGTTGGCTTCTTAAGTTTTAACGCTTTCAAAACGAAACGTCTCTTTATCAGTTCCCTTGAAAAATCCCCTCCTTCCATCAGCATGGCCGATGCTAACCTTCAAGAGAGTCATTCGATAGGAAATGGAAAGATTATATTGAATCCATTGCTGCTAAGAAAGTTGGTTCATTGCGTCGTTCTAGGCAATTTTTCTCTCCTGAATCAATCTTACACATTTATAAGTTTACCATTTTGTCCATACCTTGAATATGGCTGCCACATATGGTCCGGTGCTCCTTCTGTATATATAGAGATTCTTGATAAAATTCAAAGAAGAATCAGAAATATTATTGGCCCTGATCTGGTGTCTCGGCTTCAGTCCCTTTTCCGCCGCCGTAAACTTGCCTTCTTGTGCCTTTTCTATAAATACTTTCACAATAATTGTTCAGGTGTGCTCTTCGCTATGGTACCAAGACTTTATGAATTTATTCACTGTACTAGGTCTCATCAATGTACAGTTGAATTAAGCGTAACCGTAACTTCTATGCTAACAGTTTTTTTTCTGTACTAACATGTTTCTTTTTCTATACTAACATTTTCTTTTCTCGCACTTATGGAACTCTCTTCCGGATCCAGCCAACTTTGAAGTTCAAAAATTCAAATTCAGAGTCAATCCTTATCTACTCTCCTCTTGATTACTCCTCTTGATTACTCCTCTTGATTACTCTTCTATTGTTCTCGCTCCTTAATAATGTTTCTATTTGTTCTTATTCTTTCACACTTAGTAATTCCTTGTGTCGTAGAGGCTTTACTGCCTTGCTTGGGGTGAAATGATTTTTGAAAATTTTCTAAGTTTTATACACATTTCGATTTTTTCATACTTGCATGGTTTTTAAATGTACAAATTTCATGAATCTGGTACCTTCATTAAATTATATATAGTTTTTCACCTCAAGCAAGGCACCAAAGTCACTAAGATGCAAAGGGTGTAATAATAAGTGTAATAATTTCTAATAAACTGATATAATGTGTTCCCCCTCACTGGAATATGATTGGCTGGTGTCCGCCATAAATACCGACAGACGTGTAGGAGAGTCAGAGCCTTAGTCTGAGAGCTAAGTCTATAACGACGCCCATTGGACTAGGCCATTGATCTACACTTCTTACCTGCGACTACGAAGCGTGTATCTGTCGATTACTGCTACCGTATTCTACTTGGTTATAGTAGCCAAAACCACTTAGCTACTTCGTTCAAATATATCCCTTTCCGGAACATATCATAAACGAAAATGAGTAAGTCTTTCTTGCTGTTAAATTTTAATTTATTTATTATTATGTTTATTAGACATTAAATTACATCACTTAGCATCATCCATAATTTACCTTGACTTTCAATAAGCCGAGTGTATATTTATGAGTGTTCTTAAATGTTAAATTTCTTAAAAACTAACAACATTTTAATTCCGTTTATGAATTCCCGTTGTAAAATAAAATATATAGGTAATTTTCTAAAGTTTTCTAAATGTTTAACCCCCAAAATCACGCAAAAAAATTTTTCAAGAAAATACATGTACACATCAAACTCAGAACGGGCAGCTCACGCCTCGCAGTCCTATCACTGCCGTCACCGCACTATCACGGTCGTCACCATCCTTTCATGGTTGTCTCTGAAATTAACCAGGGGTATTGAACACATGTACACATTTTTGCTCCAGACCAGCTGCAATCTTTAGCTGAACGCCGTGCTTCATTTTCGTATTAAGCTATTTTCTTCTTCTTCGACACGGTGGGTCCGTTTTAGTTATGGATGATGTTATAGTTCAACCGGATTTATGTTTTAGTTGGACGCGACTCGATACGAATTTCTATCTAATCCATGCACTGCCTTCCGCCGCTTTCTCGCCAAAAATCTTTATCACCTTATTCGGCTTTCGGATACCAGCTCACTTAAGGAATCTCTTTAACGCAGCAGAAAACGCTCTACAGCCAACCTAAAACGGCAACAGGGTGCAGCCGTATCCTCTCTCACGGACTTCAGCCACCAGTTTCTCATAACGAAGCAGCTTCCTTCAGGAGCCTCTTCAGTCCGTTCCTACCATGCCACTGTCAGCTCGCTACCAATTAACACTAAATCTGGCCTCAGTCCAGACACAACAACCTCCACTGACAGTGTAGCATCAATCAACACTCTCCCCTTCCTTGAGGCCTCCGGCCTGGTCTTCTGCCTTGTGTCAGTCACACCTTGCTTCATACCTCTTTGGAAGGCAATCTTTCGCATGTCCGTCGAGGGTATACCAGCACTTCTCGAAGCTGCTGCCACAACCTCCAGAACCAAGTTATGCCTAAAGGTGTACAAGCCGTTCTGTAGCGCCTTAGAACAAGATGACAGTACGTGGCGCAGGTTTCCATATGCAAAACACAACCGGCAGGAGGTGAAAATGCACAATCATCTCTTCAAATTTGCCGGTGATGCCGCCACATCAAATGCTGAACTGTAAATATCCTGCCTGAGAGACGCCACCAATCAGACCAACTGATCTGAACATCTTCATTAATCTCCCAGTTGATCCATCGACCCTGCTGAGCCTGTTGGACAGTCTGCACCAATCGTCTCGCCTCCTCGAGCTTCCGAACCCCCTGTTCCTGCATCTTGCGTTGCACCTATCCACTGGCCTCTGACCAGAATCGCTCCCTCTCAACTAGACCAACCCCTCTTCCCTTGTAAGACACTGAATTTATTTATGAACAGTCATTACTTTCAGTGCTGAGATCATGTCTGGACAAAAGGACTTTTCTTCCTGCATTCACCTCCCACACATTTTCCTGGATGACAGCATCCTGAGAATCACACAGCATGGACTGCAATCTCAACTTTGCCACCTTGTACTCCTCCACTAAAGAAATAACAGGTAACTGAAGACCCCCACTCCCGAGCTGCCATACAAAGCGACCAGCAACAGAATCTTCGCAACACCAAGCTACTTCTGTACGCATTTATTTTCCTCTCAATTATCTCAACTTGAGACAGTGCCACCTCAAATATAGTTAGCGGCCACATTAGTCTCGGCTTCAATCCAAATGAATACACGAAACTTTATATATATATATATGTGTGTGTGTGTGTGTGTGTGTGTGTGTGTGTGTGTGTGTGTGTGTGTGTGTGTGTGTGTGTGTGTGTATCGTCTAGGTGAATGATACACAGAGAAGAATAAGTGCTTAATATATTTATTCAGTACAAGTATCCGGTCCTAACGGATACATACAAAAAACACAGAACAATAAGTTTAAAAAAAATAACAAGACAACTTACAAGGAATAGAGGAGGGTCAAATGCTGTATAGACAAACGAAATAAGATCAGTCTAAATATTAATCAGCTTAGTATCAACTTATTAATCAACTGTTGAAGTCCTTAATCGTAAACTATTTAAGGCTACGAGCCAGGCTGTCTGGTAGAGTGCTGAAGAGTGCTAGCTACTCTACAACAATATATATATATATGTGTGTGTGTGTGTGTGTGTGTGTGTGTGTGTGTGTGTGTGTGTGTGTGTAAGTGTTGTGCGTGTGTGTAAACATTCAGTTAAAATACAAAGAAGAATCTGCAATGATATGGGTCCTGATCTGGCATTTTGGTTTCACTCACTTTTCCACCGCCTTTTCTATAAATATTTTCATGATAGTTGTTTACATCTGCTTTGCTCTTTGCTACCTCGACTTCATGAATTTTAGCACAGTACAAGATTGGCGGCAAGATCACATCATTTTGCAGATGACTGAAATAGCTCGATGTAACTGTAAGTTCTATTCGAAGAGTTTTTTTTTTCTCGCACTTCTTGCTTATAGGAATCTCTTTCGGTTTTTTGCTTTCCAGTCAACTTTGATCAAAATTTGTTCAAAATTTAAATGCAATATCAGTTGTGATCTTCTGTCTTCTTAATTCCTATTCATTTAATGTTTTCTTTCTTTAATAATGTTTTCTTTTTTTCATATTCTCTCACACTCAGTAACCCCTTGCATCTTACCTTAAATGATTAATATATATATATATATATATATATATATATATATATATATTAAAAAAATTTTGAAGCCATCCCCAGAGTTAGCATGGGATGAACTTGTCAGAAGAGTGGGAAAAAAGTGAAAAACATTTCATAGACTAATTTAAAAAATAAAGGACCCATTATCAAACTTATACTTCGAGAAACTTTTTCAACGAATGCAAAAATTTGTTATGCAGTAATCAGGGTTAAAGAAGGATATTTTGACGAGGGGGAAAGTTTAATCACTGTCATAATAAAATTTCTAATAAAAAATCATGTCTCACCTTTTTTTTAACCATGCATAATAATTTTCTCTTATTTAAAGTAAAAAAAATTGGGCGAATTTAAAAAATTTCCAGAGTTTCTCCAAACTTTTGAACTGTAGTGTATATTAACATTAGTAAGGGACAGTATAAATTAAATTACCAACGGTGGCCTCAAACGTTTGAACTGTAGTGTATATATAATAAGTTTTCTGCGTGTCATATGCGACCCAGTTGGTTTTCTGCATGGTGTATCTAAATTCTTGAGTAAAATACAATTGATGGAATTTTTGCTTATTTCATTTCATTCTCACTTATTCACTCACTCTTTCTCATACACCACTCAAAGATTAATACAATGTTTATTGATCTTTGTAAGCGGCTTTCGTTGTAGGTAAATCTCTCGTATTTTAAACCATTGGCAATTTTTACTAAGGATGATCTTACGTGTAAAACATCTATAACTTTACAAACAGTAAACTTTCATAGGAGTTTATTTTCTCTGGAAATTTTTTCCCTTTGCAAGAGTTCAGTTTTTAATTAGAGAAAAAAATCTTTTCACCAAACAAATAGAAAATTATCAACTTTTCTTCGTTTTTAAGGCAAATGCTACGCGTATGATCTTCCATGGTAAAAATGGCTGTGGTATCTTAAACGAAAAATTACTTTAAATTTTTTATTAGAGTAACCCGCCTTATGATAAACTATATCTCATGTGGCCCACTGTTCAAAAAAGTTTACCAGGACTGTTTTAGCATAATACTCTTCCGAAAGGCTATTCTAGATTTTAACAACTTCACCAGTTTAAAAAATATATTTTTCCTACTTGACAAGCCATAAGACCCATCCTTTGGGCTTTTGTTCCACCGGATGTTGTCCAGTAGTAACTGACGCACATCTGACTGGAAAAAGCGGAAATACACTTCTGCGTGTAATTGCACGCGAGTCTTCAAGTTTTCATGTCCTGCAAAATGTTTTTCTGTCCTTAGACCTTTTAGCGTCTACAGAAAAGCGATACATTTTTTTTAATTGGTCTGCATCAAGGAGCATTCTAGAAATACTTCTTTTCGTACTGGTTAAAGAGAAAGATGTTATTAGTGGGTCTCTAAAATAATGAAGGGTCTAAAATTGTCAATAAAAGATTGTTTTCTCGAAGTACAGCTTTCAACGCGGAATACGTTCTTCAGAAATGAAAAAAATACATTTAGAATGAACCCATTTATATCTGACATTTCAAATTACTTAATATTAATATTTCTAAAGAATTCATTCATTTCGTTTATTTTTTTAATCAATTCACCCCAAGCAAGGGGATAATGCTACTAAGATACAAAGAGCTACTAGGAGGGAAAGATAATGAAAAGACTTTAGAGCTAAAAATGATAGAAAATTGTGAAGAGTCATGCAAAAACTACAAGACTTGTATCAATAATAAAAAAAATATTATCTCAAAAAAATAAAAAAATAAAAATTTTCAATAAAATATTTAGATTTCAGCATGAAATAACCCATAACTTTAACTTTATTTTGAATCATTTCACCCCAGGCAAGACGATAAAGCTACTAAGATGCAACAGGTGACTAAAAATGGAAGAAAGTGAGAAAACGTCATTGGGGACGGGGAGTATTAAAATAATTCAACTAAAATCTATCTTATGTATTTATAAGTCTACCATTCGTCCATGTTTCGAATATTACTGCCACACATGGTCTGGTGCCCCTGCTGTATATTTAGAAATTCTTCATAAAATCCACAGAAGAATCAGCAATATAATTAGTCCTGAGCTGGCGTTTCAGCTTCACCCCCTTTTCCCACCGCCGTAAGGTTACCTCTTTGTGTCTTTTCTATAAATACTTTCAAGGTAATTGTTCGGATGAGCTATGGTACTTTGACTTTATGAATATAAGCACAGTACTAGATTGGCAGCAAGGTCTCATAAATTTACACTTGCATTGGCTAGATGTAACCGTAAGTTCTATGCTAACAGTTTCTTTTCTCGCACTTCTCGCTTGCTTTCAATGCTTTCCGAATAACTTTGATCTTCAAAAATTTAAATGCAGGGTCAAAGGTTATCTACTGTCTTCTTGATTATTCTTCTATTGTTCTCGCTCCTTAATAATGTTTCTTTAATGCCTTAGGATGATAAGATTTTTAAAAATGCTATGTGTAGAACCAATGTAAACTTACAACAGTATAATCTGGTGAGCAAAAAACAATTTGTTCATTTCTACCAGGTATAATAGTTTTTTTTTTTTTTTTTTTTTTTTTTTTTTTTTTTTGGGGGGGACTACTTTTTACAAACATTTCATAATTACTTTCCTTGATACGTAGACTTTATGAATTTAATCGTAATGCTAGATTGGTGGCTAGATCACAAATTTTTACAGTTGAATTAGCTAGATGTAACCGTAAGTTCTATGCTAACAGTTTCTTTTCTCACACTTCTAGCTTGTGAAAATCTCTACCGGCTCTATGCTTTCCAGCCAACTTTGACCTTCAAAAATTTAAATGCAATATCAATCGTTACCTACTTCCTTCCTGGTTACTCTTCCATTGTTCTAGATCCTTAATGTTTCTGTTTTCTAATTCTCTCACACGTAGTAAACCCTTGTGTCTTACTGTCTTTACTGCCTCGCATGGGGTGAATTCGGTTTAAAAAAAAACAACTAGACATTAGATAACGATTGACGTTACAGTTTAATTTTTTGATATGAAAGGAAGTAGCCGACCAAAGTTCTGCAATCAAAAAGTGCGAAAGAAATATTTATTAGAATAGTTAAATTTAACAATGTCATTAGAATTTCAACAGTAAAAGGATGACACCTGTTAATCTATATCAATAAAACAGAAGATGTCTGTGTGTAAGTGTGTGGTGTGTGTCTGTGTGTATGTCTGTGTATGCACGTTCACATTTCTGTACCGATTTCGATGAAATTGTACAAACATGTTGCAAATTTACCAAGACAGGTGAAAACTAACTTTTCAATCAAAAGCGTTTGGCATAAAAATCGATATAACTGAAGGTGGGTATGACTTTTTACAAAAGAAAAAAAAACAAAAAAAACAAGACAAAGTGACAAACGAACAAAATTTTACTAGATTTTACTTAATACAAAACGTAGCTCATGTTACGAGGTTTATTTAGAATGCTCGATAGTTTTCCTGAGGCATTGGCTTTATACAAAAAACTGT